TCGTAATATTCCTGAACTAAATCTGTCAACCCTTGAAAGGTATCTGGTATCTCAGGGAAAGTTAGGCTCCTAATAACTGAAAAAGCTGTAGGTCCCCCAAGCTGTCAGGAGAATTACCCATTTCATTTGTCCCAATGTCATTTGCCCAGAAAAACTAACACATTCTTTCCACATACTGGGCCCAGTCTTTGACTGCAGGATTGAACGAGTCAAGCTTCCCAAATAATGGCATGATGCCAGAAATGCATACCCCACCTGAAAGACGACAGTTGTGAGTGAATTTCTTTAGGATTGTGCTTTTCTCTCATCACCAATGAAATAACTAAACAGAGGCTGGTATCCCATCACCAAGTCACCCTTTATTTACATGTGTAGAGTCCGTGACACTGATCCAGCTCTCAGAGTAAACAGGCTGTGTGACAATCCTGTTCATATCTGTTAGCCACGGCTCCCTGATCAGACCAGATTAACAGCCCCAGTCAAGGAGCTCATATTCTAGGAGGTCCACATGGTTGACCTTGCTACAATTTTTACACATTTCAGCAATTAATTAAAAAGGTCCCTGGAGGACTTTCTCAACTCATGAACAATTAAAGCCCTCAAGGGATCAATTAATGGTCAGTTAAGGGCCACAGATTACCAAATCCCAGACCACTTGTCTCCCTGGTGAGTGAGAAATGGCATTCAATGCGGATAAGTAGGCGGCACGGTGGTTCTGTGGTTAGCACTGCGGCCTTCTCATGCATGGGTTTCCATTGGGTGCTTTGAGTTCCTCCCACAGTCCAAAGATGTGCACGTTAGGTGGATTGGCCATGCTAAATTGTCCTGTGGTGTTCAGGGATGTGCAGGTTAGGTGCATTAGCCATGGGTAATGTGGTGTTACAGGGATAGGGTGGGAAGGCTGGGTCTGGATGGGATGCTCTTCAGATTCTATGTTTTATAATAAATGTGAGGTGATGCACTTGGGCAGGACAAACAAGCCAAGGGAATACATGATGGATGGTAGGACCCTGGGAAGCATACAGGATCCGAGGGATCTTGGTGTGCATGTACGTTGGTTCTTTAATGCATCAGGACACATGGAGAAAGTGGTTAAGAAGGCAAATGCTAGTCAAGGCATAAGAGCAGAGGAGTTATGCTGGATCTGTATAAAATGCTGGTTAGGCCACAGCTAGGGTATGGTGTGCAGTTCTGGAAACCACATTATAAGAGGGATGTGATAGTACTAGAGAGGGTGCAGAAGAGCTTTATGAAGATTTTGCTTGGGATGGAGAGTTTCAGTTACAGAGATTGGACAGACCAGGGAGATAGCAAGAACTGCAGATGCTGGAATCAGAGATAACAAAATGTGGATCTGGAGGAACACAGCAGGCCAGGCAGCATCAGAGGAGCAGGAAAGTTGACATTTTGGGTAGGGACCATTCCCTTCCCATTTCTGAAGAAGGGTTCCGATCTGAAACGTCAACTTTCCTGCTCCCCTGATGCTGCCTGGCCTGCTGTGTTCCTCCAGATCCACACTTTGGACATACCAGGGTTGTTTTCCTTAGAACAGAAGAGATTGAGGGGGGACGTGATTGAGATGTCTAAAACTATGAGGAGCAGGTTGAGTTGACAGAAAGAAACATTTCCCCTAGATGAAGGGATCAATGACCAGGGGTATGGATTTAAAGTAAGCCACAAAAGGTTTACAGGAGGTATGAGGAAAACTTTTTTCACTCAGAATGTGGTGGGAATCTGGAACTCACTGCTTGTAAGGGTGGTAGAGGCAGAAACCCTCCAAACATTTAAGAAGTATTTAGATGTGCATTGTGATGCTAAGGCATTCAAGGCCACCAGGAAAGTGCTGGAAAATGGGATTAGAATAGTTAGGAGATTGTTTTTACAGGCATGATGGACCAAAGGGCCTTTTTTTATAATGCTGTAGACCTCTACGACTCTATAACTCTAAACCATGGCCACCTGCTGGCCGAGCTGGGGATAAGTGGGAGGGTTGTGGGATGAGGGATAAGTGCGGGGGTAGGAGGTCCTTCAACTGGCCCAGTCTGTGAGTAATCACAGACAGAGATGATACTGGGTAAGACAGGTGGTATCTAGAAGCCACCTCTCTGCTCTTGCCTCTGAACACCCTGAACCACCCCACTCCCTGTGACACTCAGTCCCATGAAAAGTAGAAAACAAAAACACCTTCTTGCTGCTGGATCTCCTGAGGACTCGACTGGCAAACTGTAGGATGCAGGAATTCTGTGGTGGCCATGGAAAGGGTGAGATATTCTCCCTTCTTTGCCTGTCAGCTTTCATTGACCTGTTTGGCAGGCAACTGGGTGAGTTACCTTGCTGGTGGGGGCAGTGCATTGGTTGCCATCAAAATGACACCGAAGCATTAGAGGAAAATTCAGTCCAGAGTTGCTTGTCTTTATGGCACAGGTCTCATATCCCCTGTAGAGGGTGCTATGCTGATATGCTTTCTAATAATCAAAAATGATGCTGTAAAGCAGCCAAGCTTCTATGGCAGGACAAAGAAAGCATTTTCAAAGAAACCCTTAAGTTCTCCTTGAAGTCCAGCAGTATTGATACTTATGACTGGAAGAATTTGCTCAGAATAATGCCAAACAGTTCATCAAGCAGCATCGTGTCTTGAGTCCCAATGCCTTTTTAATGAGGCAGTGTGACAACAGAGAAGGCAAGAAAGGAAGAAATTCCTGTTGTCTTAACAACTTCTTCATGTATCTAAAGATCAGCAAGTCAAAAATTGGCCTGCTCAGCCACATAAAGATGCATTGCAATATCTCATGAGGGGACGTCATCGTTGGATTGAAAAACAGTTCCCTCAACGCCAATCACAACGTTAATGCTCACAGTTTGGGAGAAGGTCTAAGTGCAATCATTTGTGAGTGTCATTCCTTTGCCTCTGATTGCATAATACAACCAGTATATTTGCCTAATTTTTCTAAAATATTTCTACTGAATCAGAACTGGATTATTTTCTAGTCATTCTTGTAAATACTGGTTAGGCACAATTACAGTCTGTGCCATCACTGCTGCAATTAGCTGATACTCTTGATAATTGTGCCAATCGCAGCCGAATCATAAGTCAGTCACTAATCAGTTTCTCTGAAGAGTGCATCAAGCTGAACTAAATGAACTGAATTATCTGAGGAAATCCTAAAATATGTAAACATGAAAAGAATAGAATTAATTTAAAATATTTACAAGATGTTTGATGGGTGCAAAATAAGAGACTTGTTGCAGTCCTTGGCAATAAAGAGAATGTAGCTGCATGGGCACAGGTGGCTAAGAATGCAAAGTGATAAATAGGGAATAAATAGATCCTTTTTCATGTCAGCAGAAATTAGGTAGTAGCATTCCTTAGGGATTTGAGAGGAAAAATGGAATAATCTGCAAGAAACCATAGAAAAATGTAGAGAGTAAGCTGATAAGAATCTAAAGCAACTCAAGCTGGAAACAGGACTGAAAGGAAAAACATCTTTGATTGCAAGACTTTCAACAGATTAGTGGAACAGAAGGATCTACTTGTCTTAGGAATCTTTGAAAGTGACAATTCACTAACAAAGTGCCATGATAAAAGCAAATGGGATTCTGCATTTTATATTGAGGTACATTGAATAGAGAGTGAATATTGATTTAGGCTATTGTTGGAGTATTTCTGAGCATGTTATCATAGAAAACTTCTTAAGAGTCACAGAAAAGGGTGCAGCAAAGATTCACTGAAATAAAATCAGGAAGGAGAGGTTCCTGCCATGATGAAAGGCTAGAAAAACAGGGGCGTTATTTATTGGAACACAGAGGGAATCTTTTGAGGGTTTTCAAAATTCTGAAAAGTAGGTACAGGATAAATATTGAAGGATTTTACAGGTCGGTGAATGAAAAACTATTATCGCAGGAAGAACAGAGGGGTATGTTGGATGATAGTTTTCAAACATTGGTTGTAAGTACATGGGAAGTTTAAGCATTATTTAATGATTTTTAAGCCTTGAGCAATACAGAGTATTAAGACTTTCACCGCATATTGCATACTAACTTATTTGAAATGGTTGACTTAGTTCTTACTTTGACTAATATAATGTTATTATGAATTTAAACAGCTAATCTTTTTCCCCAAATTACAAGGATTAACACATTGTACTGAAAAAGTGGGCAAGGAATTAACTCAGAGTTGGGGGGGGCGGGTAAAAAGCAAAACAGAAAAAAAACAGATTATCAGTTCTAATTTTGTAATGGCAACAGAACGCCTTCAACATTCTGGGAAGTAACTAAATAATTTTAGTAGGAAGGTCACAGGCGCTAGATGGTAAGAGAGTTATGATATAAATTTGTAGATGTAAATGACACATGACAAACATCTTTAACTCGGTCTCACTTAGAAAATTTTTATAGCGTGGTGTGGTGTTGTCTGAAATTATGATGTACAGTAATGTTGTTTCATTGGAAAATTATAAATACAATCCCAATGTTATGATGGAGAAAGACCTCTCGTACAGGTTTTCAAAATCATGAATGGGCTAAATAGTGCAGATTTGGAGAAGCTGCTTTTGCTTGTAAAGGAATAACAAATGGAGTTAGATTTAAAGTGATCTGCAAAAGAAACAAGGGTGAAGTAAGGAATAACATATTCAGCCAGCAGGTCGGTAGGATATAGAATGCACTGCCTGGAACTGTGGTGGATGCAGGCTCAATTGTGGTCTTCAAGAGGATATTGGATAATGATCTGGATAAAAGTAATGTGTGAGGGCATGGGGAAAAAGAAGATTGACAATGATTCTCATTGAACTAGACAGTGCAGGCATGATGGACTGAATGGCCTCCTTCTGCACCCTACTAATTCTGTGATTCTGTGAGAAGGTCAGCTAGCCATCAAACATGACATATTACTATTGTCAAGTAAACAGTGGCACCGGTAGAAACCAATTTTTTCTTCTAATCATCGTCGCAGCACCACAGCAAACCATCAAGGGCCATCAGCTCCAAACAGAAGGTCTTACCTTGTATTCTGAAAAAGAAAGAGGAGATGTTTTACTTGAAACAGGACTCTAAACAAAGCCATATCAGCAGAGTTATGTGCAAACAGCACATCATCTACTTATTTCATCATTGCTCCTGGCAATGGTTTCAGGCATTAAAAGACAGGTTTTCACACAGGGACACTGATGCCAAACTGCAGTGACATTATCCTATAATATAGAGTTATCAACGTTGTAAGTTCTGTGCAGTCTTTGACCTTTAACATATGCATCTTCAACCTGGTACATAGCAATGCACACTGATGGTATGATTTTCTGATTCTCATAAAATAAGGGTATAAAGTACTAAAGTGTAGGTATAATGACCCCGACAGTGTAGAATTTCTGAACTTCCTTTAGCTAATTTGATTCTTGACTTTATAATGGCAAAGGGAAGGAGATATTTTCCCTTTTAATTGTCAGTACTGCATGTGCCTATTTCTCTTGCACTGTGCAAAGAACATTCAATACACTTAATATTATTTTGACATACAAATGCGTCTTTAGTTAAGAATTTTACATTTTATTATATCCAGCCAATTTTAATATCTTACCTCTCATTCCCCAGTTAACAGAATTGTCGTTGTCATATTGGAAAATGTCAGCACTCTGAGGCTAAAGACAACAATGCATGGCATTGGGTGAAAAGAAAAATTGTTAGTTACTTGCAATTTTAGACAACATTCTTTCAACTCTTTGTCACTGCTAGTACTCAAGTGCGAGCAGATAAAATATCATATTATCTTGAAGGTTGATTTGATCAAGATAATAACAAATCTATTTTACAGCCCTATCTACTTTGTTACAAACCTGCACAGAATGTACAAATGTATAGTTATAAATTTTTAACACCCTACAATTTCTTGATGATATATTCAATGTTTTTAAATTCCCCGATGCAAACACTTACATCTCTCTAGTCATGGACTGAGAAGCAAGAGAGCCTGAAATTTGAATACCAGCTGGATACTTGCAACGAGGAAAATTACAATACATTTCAAATGTCTTCACAAGGACAAAGGGGCTGAGGGAAAATTGATACATATAAAATCAGACAGAAGCAAACATTTATACTGAATGTACACTTGTATTTTCCTCCTTCAGGGGATAAACCAACTGTGAGAGGAATTAATTCAACCTTACCCTGTGCAAACCATTTCTCATATAGGCAGGAAGAGAAGCAGACTTGGAAATCAGTGGATCTGTAATAAGGAAAGTAATAATTCATTTTAAGGTTGATTTAAGGTTGTTGTTCTCAAAATCCTAAGAGAACATCAGTGTGGAAGTTATTTCATCGTAGATGATGAATTTATACTATGTAGTTCCTCTTAAAACCACTAGATGGTGCTTAATGTTAACACGTAGAGGAATCTTGTTCCAGCCAATCAGCTAGAATCATAAAACTACAAGAAAGTTGATAGATTGACGTTGGATGAAGTTGAAATAACTGTACTCACTGTAACCAAGTTCAACACTCATAATGGAGGATGACATTTAAAAAATTATGTTGAAGAGTAATATTACTTATTTTTTAAAAAGGCTGAAACATCTTATACATAAACCTGACGTGCTGTTTGTTGAAACTCCCAGATATGTTCTTCAGACAGATGTTTATAATTTAGTTAAAAATAGTGAACCAAGGAAGTCTCACACCGCCTCCTCCCCTATGTTGAACAGATTTGAGTGAAATCTAGGCAGGTCTAACAATGAAGAATAGCAGACATAAGGATGACATGTAACATGTGCTATGCCAGCTGGGAAAAAGGATCTAGACATCAAATAAAGGAGGCTCCAGAATCATGAACACACAGCAGGACAACAAAAGCTAAGCAAATTCAAGGGATATCTTTTTGTCACGTTCAGCATTGTAACTTAAGAATATATTAATAAGCTGACATATAATAAATATGATTGTATAATATTATACAGATTCAAAAACAGCTTCATTCCCATTGTTATTAGATTCCTGAATGGACCTCTGAAATTTCAAATTTATTGCTGACCTCGCTGTTTGTGTATCTTCACTGCAGCCATAACACTGTATTCCTTGCTTTGTTCTATTACCCTTATGCACTTCGTATAATATAATCTGCTTGTACTGCATGCAAATCAAAACTTTTCACTGTACCTAGGTACATATGGCAATAATAAATCAAATCAAATCAAAATATGGGAATTAGAGTCATAGAGTCATACAGCATGGAAATAGACCCTTAGGTCAAACTCATCTGCGCCGACCAGATATCCCAATCTGACCTAGTCCTATTTGCCAGCATTTGGCCCATATCCCTCTAAACCCTTCCTATTCATATACCCATCCAGATACCTTTTAAATTTTGTAATTGTACCGGCCTCCATCACTTCTTCTGGCAGCTCATTCCATACACGCACCACCCTCTCTGGGAAAATGTTACTCCTTGGATCCTTTTTAAATCCTTTCCCCTCACATTAAACCTAGGTCCTCCAGTTTTTGACTCTCCACCTTAGGAAAAAGACCTTGGCTATTCACCCTATTCATGCCTCTCATGATTTTATAAACCTCTATAACGTCACCTCCTCAGTCTCCGACATTCCAGACAAAAAAGCCGCAGCCTATTCAGCCTTTCCCTATAACTCGAAACCTCCAGTCCCAGGAACATCCTTGTAAATCTTTTCTGCACCCTCTCAAGTTTAACAACATCCTCACTATAAAAGGGCAACGAGAATTGAACGCAGTATTAAAAAATTGGCCTCAGCAATGTCCTGTACAGCTGCAATATGACATCCTAACTCCTTCACTCGATGTTCTGACCAATAAAAAAGCAAGTGTACCAAATGCCTTCTTCACCACCCTGTCTATCCGCAATGCCACTTCCAAGAACTGTGCACCTGCACCACATGTCTCTTTGTTTGGTAACAGTCCCGAGGGCCCTACCATTAACTGCATAAGTCCTGCCCTGCTTTGCCTTATCAAAATGCAAGACTTCACATTTACATAAATTAAGCTGCCACTCCTTGGCCTATTGGCCCATTTGATCAAAATCCAGTTGTACTCTGAGATAATCTTCTTCACTGGCCACTACACCACCTAATTTGATGTCATCTGCAAACTTACTAACCATGCCTCCTATATTCACATCCAAACCATTTATGTAAATGACAAAAAGCAGTGGGCCCAACACTGATCCTTGGGGCACACTGCTGGTCACGGGCCTCCAATCCAAAAAACAACCCTCCACTATCACCCTTTTGCAGCTAAATATTTCATACGACAGGTCTCTCCATAAAAGGCAAATAGAAACCTATACAAAATGTTAAAAACGGTTAATCAAAAAATATGCATTATCGTCAAGATGGTTCTGTAGACATGTTACAAACAGCACAAAGCACATTCAGTTGACCGATCATAATGTTTCATATTTCTGAAAATAAAATCATGAACTGGATTATACACAGCTCTCAGACAATTTGCCAACTCATAATGTACTGATAGTGACTGTTATGCAAATATAATGAAACGCAGCACATACCTCTGTAATAAAATCTAGCACATAATTATATGATGAAATAAGATACTGCATTACATAATAAAACAGAGCACAGTATTAAACTGTACAAAAATGCAGTAGTGAATTATTTGATGATATATGGCTGTGGTTGTACACATTATACTGTAGTCACCCCACCAACAGTAACTGCAGCATTCCACTATCTTTTTTTAATTAAGCAAGCAGAATTAAAAATTAGTGAAGGTGGTGTTGGAACAGCACAGCAGGTCAGACAACATCCAAGGAGCAGGGAAGTCAACTTTTGGCCTGAAACTCTTTGTCAGGACTGGGGAGGGGAAAGGGAGCCCAGACTTAAATACAGGGAGAGGGTGGGGCTGAGGGGAGGGCAGGTGGGATGGAGATAGGTGGATGCAGGTAGGGGGTTAACTCCCCTCCCACTCCCCCAATGACATGTCCATCCTTGGCCTCCTCCACGGTCAGTGTGAGGCCAAACGTAAACTGGAGGAACAACACCTGATATTTCATCTTGGGAGCTTACAGGCCAATGGCCTGAATATTGACTTCACCAGTTTCAAAATCGCTCCACCCCAACCTGTCCATCTTCTGACCCACCTAACTGCTCCACCCTTCCCACTGACCAACCACAATAACCCTCTACCTGCATCCACCTATCTCCATCCCACCTGCCCTACCCCAGCCCCACCCCCCTCTTTCTATTTATTTCTGGGCTCCCCTCCGCCTCCCCAGTCCTGACGATGGGTTTTAGCTCAAAATGTTGACTTCTCTGCTTCTTGGATGCTGACGACCTCTTGTGCTTTTCCACCTCCACATTCATTGACTCTAGCTTCTAGCATCTGCAATCCTTACTGTCTCCAAGAATTAAAATCAGGCTCTTAATGATTTCAACCAGCAGAAACCTGCCCAGCATTGATATGCAGAAGCAATTCAAAATTTGCATCATATATGACAGGAAATAAAACTGGTCAAGTGGGTTCTGTAAAACAGCGTTTGCAGACTGAACCAATAGTTGTAGACTGTTGTAAAGGATGATATCTGGAAAAATGAATATTTAACTTTATCGGCAAACTGTCTTTTACTTACCACTGTCTCCCATATATGTTCCTCTGGGAGCTGTAATCAGAGGATTAAAAATAAATTAGAATAAAACAGGAAAATGACTAAACATGAACTGTGCCCCTTACCAAAACCTAGTTCAAATACTTTAGCATCAAGCATTTTTCTATAACTTAATTACAATGTGAATCAGAGAAAGTACTTGTTTTGTATATTATCCTTGGATGTGGGAAATCATAACGCAATTCATACCATTTAACTGAAGGACAGCTGCAACTGCATTTGCTACCAAATGCAAGATAATCCTAGCCTATAGTATCTTTTTTTAAACTTATGATACATGACTGGAATGTCCTGCGCAAAAGCACAGTTAATGATAACACCTAGATAATTGGAATTCACATTGTTTAATTGGTTCTAAAGTTACTTCCTTCCTACAGCTGAACAACAAAACAGAAGTAAGGGGAAAATACTATTTTTTAATTCAGATATGTGTGCCTAAGATATTCTTATGGATCAATGCTTTGAGTTAGGATTTTACTTTAGGTTTGTGAGCTGAGGCAGCAATTGCTACCATGAAACTCTGATTGAGTTAGAACTGCTGTAATCCCATTCTAAGAAGCTCCCAGTATCACAGCTTGCCCACAGCCCTACTTTCACAATTCTCACCAAGAAAGGTTGCAACAATTTTCAAGATGTAAAATGGGGTCAGAGTGGGGAAAAAATTTTGAGACCTGTTCTATGCATTAAGTATGACTGAGTCAGCTGAGTTCTTCGGTAAATTGTTTCAAACTTTCTCACGCATTAGGCTCAAAATAAAAGCTCCCTCATGCTGAAATCATGATCTTGGCTGGGCTAGGAGGGAGTGCCATACAGTGAACAGCTGTACCTTTATATAGAAAATAGTGATGAAAGAATCAGCCATTCCTCAGTCATTCTCATGCACCTCTTGATATAATATAAAAGATTTAATTGCACAGCACTTGAAAAGTTGTGACAGGCCTGACAGCATGGATTTATGAAAGGGGAATCATGTTTGACAAATTTATTGGACTTTAAAAAAAATGTAACAAGTGGCGTTGATAATGGGAATGAGTGGATGTGGTTTATTTGGACTTTTAGAAGGCTTCCAGTAAGGTCTAACGTAAAAGATTAGCATGTAAAATTAAAGTGCATGGGATTGGGGGTAATGTACTGACATGGATAGAGAACTGCTGATAGATAGGAAACAAAATGTAGGAATACCAGTGACTGTTGGGATACTGCAGCAATCAGTGCTAGAACCCCAGCTATTCACAATAAATATGAATATTTAGATGAGGGATGTAAACGTAATATCTCCAAGCTTACAAAAAACACAAAGCTGGGTGGGAGGCTTTACTATGAGCAGGATGCAGAGACTCTTCAGGTTGAGTGAATGGGCAAATGCATGGTGGATGAAATATAATGTGGGCAAAAGTGAGGTTATCCACTTCGGCAACAAAAACGGGGAGGCAGATAATTATCTTAATGGTGATAGATTGGGAAAGGGGAAGGAACATTTAGCCCTGTGCGTCCTTGTACACCATTCGCTGAAAGTAAGCATGAAGGTGCAGCAGGTGGTCTTCATAGCAAAAGGTTTCAAATACAAGAGGGATGTCTTTTTGCAATTGTAGAGGGCTTTGGTGAGATCACCCCTGGAGTATTGTGAACAGTTTTGGTCTCCTTATCTGACGAAGGATGTTCTGGCTATGGATCGAGTCCAACAAAGGTTTACCAGGCTGATTCCTGGGATGATAGGTCTGAAATATGAAGAGAGACTGATTGATTAGGACTATGTTCACTCAGAATAGTTTAGAAGAATTAAAGAGATCTCATAGAAACATACAAAATTCTAACAGAGCCGCACAGGGTAAATGCAGAAGGTTAGTCCCAATGACCGAGAGTCCAGAACCAGGGATCACTGACAAAGGGTATGGGAAAGGACTTTTATGGCTGAGGTGAAGAGAAATGACTTTACCCAGAGGGTGGTGAACCTATGGAATTCTCTGCCACAAAAAGCAACAGAGGCCAAGGTATGGAATGTCTTCAAGGAGGAGACAGATGTAGTTTCACTGCCAAAGGAATAAAAGGTTATGGATGGGGAGAAAGTGGGAACAGGATTGGATGATCAGCCATGATCATATTGAATGGTGGAACAGCTTCGAAGGCCCAAATGACCTACTTCTGCTTCTATTTTCTATGTTTCTACACAATCCAAAGCAATCCAGATATCTTTCCCATTTATCTTTTCCCATAATTCAATTTAAGAAGTTGCAGAAGTTTTAAATGAAACAATATGCAATAAAATAGCTCTATACTCTCTTCACCCTCTTTCTCTGATGAATTCTGTAGCAATGTGCAACCAAACTCAGAGCAATGTCAGGCTCAGCACCTGAACCTGCACATCAGAAATACAATGAATTTCTGGGAACCATATCCACATCAGGGCTGGAATTTAGTGCAGTCATCAGAAGTGGGTTGGAAGGCAAGGGCATGGAGGTGAATGCCTGTGGAATTAGGAGGAAAAGTGGGTAGTTGAGAATCCAGCACCTTCTAAACTCTGTCCAATTCAATAAGGCTGGCGAAAGGTCAAGGAGGTTCTTCCCACCCAGAGGTTCATTGAGGCCCTTAAGAAGGCAATTAATGGCCTCATCACTGCTAGGATAGGAAGGGAACCTTCACAACATGGGGAGTCACCATCATTAAAAGCTGACAACCTGATCGACATCTTGTGACCCATGGAAGGGTGCCACTCCCAAACCTGTAACCACCTGGCCTGCCCTGTCAGACAGATATCTCTTGACCTTAGTAATGACCATGCTTGCTGACTCACGCCTCATTGCTCTCACTAGCTCCACCCACCTGAGTTCCAGGACCATATCCATGATCCAGACATGGCTGTAGTATCAGCAGTAGCTGCTGGACCTGGTGGCACTGCTGAAACTAAAGACCTGCCAAAGTTGTGAATGGCCTTTCCATAGCCCCAATAACCAGCAGTTAATTGTCTGATGGGCATAAAATTACTTCAGGGATTCCGGAAATGGCAATGGCAGGGGTGCCTCAGCTTTTTAGCCTGCTGTTATGGCCACTGTTGTAACCATTAAGTCTAACCCTATGATGGTGAATTTGACCAAGCTGAATTGTTCGCAAAAGGAACATGCCAAATATTAGTGTCACTTGTCACATTTATTTGTTTTTTTTTCTGCTTCTCCATTGTCTCAGAGGTCACATGCATCCATAGTCCAGGAGACATAGGCAAATATTTGTTCTTAGGCCTTGTCCAATACAGGAGTTGAACCAATTCATAAGAAGTGGGCAGCATGGATCTTGGTTGGCAAAACTGTTGGAAACTCCCATTGTATACAGAAAGAAATTTTGTTTCTGCTCAGCTCTGCTCTTTGACAGCGTAATTTAAAGAAGACGACACTGGGTGGAAACTGAAAGTGAAACCAAACCCTAGATATAACCTAATTTGGCATCTTTCCCCCTAACATCACTGCCACATAGATATACTTATCTTTAAGAAGAACCCATTCGAACATAATGAACGATTTATCATTGAGTTAAGTAAGTTAGCGGTCAAATACTGAATCCATGGTTAATTATTCACATCAATACATGCAAGCACAAATGGGTTACTGTTTTGTAGGTCATATAAATCAGTATTCCCTTCCAGAATATACATTCTGATGAAAAATCAACATCTCAAAATGTTAACTTTATTTTTCTCCACTTATGCTGCCTAAACTGCTCAGTTCTCCCAGCATTTTCTTTTTATATTTCAAATTTTCAGCATCTGTAATGTTTTGTGTTTTCCATGATGCTTCAATAATCCTCAAACTTCATTTCCTCACTCGAAATAAAACTGCCGTGTAATTGGAGGTTGGAAAATTTTCTGTCATAATTTAAAACTGATATTTACTTGTTTTTGAAAAGTTCTTGTGTCTGAAGAATCAGACTTCAAAAACCATACCTCATATGAAGGTCATTCATGTAGTTTACTGCCACTGCTCTAATGCTATGAGCAAGACACGGGGAGTCTGGATTACTCACGGTAACCAGTCTTCAAATATCTGAGGGTTTATATTCTTCGTAATTGATTACTGCGGCAGTGCCAAATGTATATTAGCTGAGCACACAGATCAAAGGGGGCTAGTCAGCAAGAGGACTCTGAACATTTGTTATTTCTTCAGGTTTACTTTTTGAAGTCAAAATAATACTTTTAAAAAGCACAGTCATTCTTAGCAGAGACACAAGCATTCTTTCTCACTTCTGATTTGATTCCAAGTTGATATATTGAAAGAACAAGATATGTTTTAGCTAAAACACAATCAAATCAATTTGCCTTTTTCCAATGGGTGTTCTCAGGGATAGATAATGAGGAAGTAGTTTCCTTAATTGCAGTCAGAGAAGTCAACAAGGAAAATAGGTGCAGAGGAACAGAAGGCACAACATTCACCAAAAGCAATTTCCAATTAAATCGCCTGCTCTGACCTTTGAGTGAACCTCATATTCAGACCTTTTGCTGGCCCATACATAGATAATTGAGAAGCTGTAATCAGAATTTGGAGGTGCACAGACTCTAATAAACTACATAAAGCAAAGTTATAAACAGATTTGACATGCAGAACTATTCCTATTGAAAATGATTGATATAATTTAGCAATGGAAATCAAAACTCACTAACATGATTCAGAATCCATTTTTATGTTCCAATTTTGAAGTTGTATTGTATTAAAGAACAGTCGGTATAGATTTCCAACCAACTTCACTTTTAATGTCTTTTTTCTCCTCCTCCACTCCTCCATGCATTGATTCTGTGCAGGAGATTAGTTCCCAATACAATCACCTTCTAGTAAATTGGCTAAGTTACTATTAGGGGAGGTGATGGTCTAGTAGTATTATTGCTAGACTGTTAACCCAGAAACCAAGGTGATATTCTAGGGACCCAGGTTCGAATCCCACTATGGTGATAGTGGAATTTTAATTCAATAAAAATCTGGATTTAGGAGTCTAATGATGACTATGAAACCATTGTTGATTGTCAAGGGAAACATCCATCTGGATCACTAATGTCCTTGAAGGAAGAATACTGTCATCCTTACCTGGTTGGCCTTTGTGTGACTACAGACCCACAGCAATGTGGTCGCCTTTTGGCTGCCCTCTGGGATGGGCAATAAATGCTGGCCTGACCAGTCATGCCCTCATCCCGTAAATGAATTAAAAAAGAAATTCTGGTCCTGCAGAGACCGTGTGGTAAATGGAATCAGTTACAATGCTGGAAATATATAAGACGGGCTACCAACTTGTAACCCTGCAGAAAACAATCTTGCTGGGGACAAGGTCAATGCAGGAGAGGCGTTTGCTAATTATGTCTAATAATAAGCTATTAGGGGAGAAGTTTTGAGGTGGCTGGGAGCTTCCTCACGGCTGACTGAGCCCCACTGAGGCCAGAACCCAAACTGAACTGGATACAGCAGGAGGAGCAGGGTTCCTTTCCCAGCCTAGTGTGGAATTACTATGAACAAAACCTTCCCCAATGCAATGATGACCAAACAGCTATGGTCATGCATGCATTTGAATCTTGTTACCCAACTACAGGGAATGCTTTCATCTCGAAGTGCAGCTGTCATCTGCCTACCTCCGAAGTGCCCACCTTTCCTCATGGATCTGCCAAACATTGCAGCAAGCCGTCTGGGACTTCCACTTCCCAGTCCACGTGCTACCATTAGCTTAAGCAAGCTTCTCAAGGCAACTTTTGAATTGACTGCGCCCAAGAAGATTGCAACTGATATCCTGCTACATCCATATCTGGGATTGTGACTCAGAATTGATGTTGACAATTGGATTATGACCCAAAGGGGAAATTCTAGACCGCTTTCTCAAGAACAAATTTAGGCTTGCATATAGATCCTATAGAAAGATCATTTTGCTGTTACTTACATCCATTCACTGGAGAATCATAGCCTACATTCTGCAGACATTCCCTACTTGTTGTGGAGCTGCGTGTCGACCAGGGGTCATTATCATAACTCCCTGATCTGGCTTTCATCTCCTCCTTCAGAATTAATCGGTTAATGCCACTTTGTATCTAAAAGAAAAGTGATAGATTCAATATTGAACTGTTACTGAAGTCCAAAATCTGGTTTGCTAATCAACCCATAAGCACAGTTACATATGTCTATTGATAAGACGAGCTGATCTATGAATATGACTTGAGCATACCAATAATGTATATTTCATTAAAAACAACAAAATCAGTAGCAAAGACTGCATTTTACAATAATGTTTTATTTATGGTTAAAAGCTACAACACAATATATCAAGACTTAAATAAAAGGTATGACTATGTCAAACATTGGAAAAAAAACTGTGTGTAACATGATTACAGGTTTAACTTTCTTCCCTCCCCAGATACAACAGTATCATTCATTTTACGAAAGTTCTTGAGGAAAAGTTACAGTTAACTGAAACCTAATTCTACCAGGCTATAGCTTTTTAAACCTAACCAGGAAAGAATGATGAGATAACAAGGTGTAGAG